TATGTAACTTAACTATATTATCACAGAGAGAGTGCATATTTCTTCCTTTTCTTCTTCCCCCTTTTATTTCTATCTTGGAATCTAGATAATTATAGTTGTTTGGTAAAGGTATATCAGTGGCTGTTGAGGACTTTTGTGTGAGGGGGAGTCAGTAAGCAGGATTACCATGTTTTGTAGACACTACTTATCTATAATCAGAACTGAGACAAAGCCTTAGTTCATCCTAGGTAGGTTTTGAAAGTTATATTACCCTTCATTTGAAATTTGTGCAGATGACTATTGTCCGCTAGAAGTTTTGAGCCTTCAGTGTAACATGTGCAATTTGATATAACATGAAATATTAACATAGCATTAAAGAAATAATTTTCTGGCCTTAATAATGTGTTCAGCATGACATGATTAATAGTACTTTGGCTTTGGAGTCAGGAAAAATTGGGTTCATACCCTGATTTTTCACGTACTAATTGTGTGACTATGGTCATTTAATCTCTCAGTGTATCTAAGCAACTCTTTGATCTTACAAATTGCACCCAAGTTGTGAATCTTTTGCCCTACTAGGTGTTCTCTACACCAGTGAAGTCACAGGTCTGGAAAATAAAGTATGCGTTGATAATAATCACAAAAACTAACATTTATATAGCACTTTAAAATTTGCAGTTGTGTTGCATATATTCTATCATTTGAACCTCAGCAACCCTGTGAAATAGGTACTATAGTTATTACCATTTTACAGATGAGGAAACTGAGGCAGAGAGAAGTAAAGTGATTTGCTCAGGGTCAAGTCACACAACTACTAAATATCTGAGGAATGATTTGACTCAGGTCTTCCCTTGGACTATTGTAATTTGAAATACGAGATGAAAAAGATGCCTATAAAATGGAAAATACACACAGATTTAAAACTTAATTTAAAATTTTACTTTAAAGCTTTATAACAATGACTTTTGGAGCCAGATTATTAGAATTAGAATTTTACCTGAATTTTATGTGCTATAAGGTCTTACATTGATGCCTAATCCTAGTATAGAAGTGATTAAAGGCTCTTGAATGATGTGCCAGGAAAGCACAAGATCAGGCAGAGCCTATGAAGTTGTAAAGGTTGTAAATGGGGCCCCTTGATGGGTTGTATGCCTTTATCCTTAGACCAGCCTCAGACTAACTACATTTAGAGAGGCTTATCACCAGAAGATTGGCCAATAGGTGACCATTTTTTCCTAAGACAACAGCTCATAAAGATCATATACCAAATTAAAGAGTTATGATTTGAATTGTTGAAGGAAGTACCAATGCCAATAAAATCACAAGTCCTTGAAGTTTTTAAGTAAGTTTTAGGGGGCATATTTTGACCCATAGCATTTTCATATCAATACAGTAAATTATATTTATTGGAATTGTAGTGTATGTTTAATATTTTTTACTTTTGTGTTATGTCATTTGTTACCACTGAGTTTGAACAAGTCTTCATAACAATAGTCACAGTTGAGCTTTTTTGATGAGGAAAATCAGCAGAGGCCAGAAAGAAAGGAGCCAGATACTTAGGATCGTTTACAAATTTAGTATAATTTTGAGAAAGGGGATATAATTAAAGGAAAGAAGGAAAAGCTATCTTTAAAGGATGTAGTCTGTTGAATGTGGTGTGTTGTCTCATAATAGAGTATTAAGGAGGGAGAAGAAGAGAGTAAATTCATTGGATGAGCAGTCAAAGTTTATTCCTGGACGTATTCCTGTGGATGGAAATTTTTTTTATCATTTCTTTTTTGGGATCATCCATGCTGTCATTTTTTTAGATAAGTAAGGGATATGACTGTATAAGTGTGAGATTGGACAGAAATCTTTCTTATCTTAAAGACGTGAATTGACAGTAAAGAATCCTTCATTAAAAACTAACTGCTCTATGCTCAGGTGTTTTATTTTTTTCCTTAATAATCTGTATAACTTGAGTTGGCATATAAAGTCATCAAAGAGTGCATATTTTCCTCAGAATGAAGTAATATTTTAAGTGCTTACAAATGTACCTATATATGTGATATATGTGTATGTATATACATATATATAAATAATATTACACATCACTTAAAGATTGCATGTTCAGAAGGAAACATTTCTATTTTGGGAATTGATATTCATTTTACAAAGCTGTATAAAATCTATTTTACTTTAATTTGAAACAGATTTTTCTACAATGCACTTTAATTTTTTCATTTGCTTATTTCTCTTCAAAAATAAAACCTTTTTTATGCAGTCACTTTCCCTTCTGGCTGTAAACCAGGTATTTAAACAAAAATAAAGGGTTGCCAGTTTTGCCAGCTGGGGATGAGAACCCGGCTGGTGATATGCGGGTTCGGGAGGCAGTTAATCCAGCTTTTATGCTTTTTATGGTTTTATGAAAAAAGAGGTTAAAAACCACATTTGGCTCTTTTTTTGGGACCGCTGTGTTGTTGCTGTTGTGGGAATGCAGTAAAAGATTTGCTAAGACCTAACATTTTTTTATTGTTAATAGGTAAAATCCTGTATAAATTAGGTATATATCCCTCATGCAGTATGCCCTTCTTATTGGCCATGAGTTATGTCCATATGTAGTAACCAAAAATCTGGGCCATTTAAAAGTTATACCTGGACAACTTATTCCAACTTAAGCATACAAAAAAAAACTCTTACTCCTTTAAATTACTTTTTTTTTCCAACTTTATACCCATAAGTTTTATTTCATGAAAGTGAAAATAAATTCTTAGCATTTAAAATGTTTTTTTTCCTCCAAAAGTAAAAAGTTTCATATGGAGTATGACACCTCTCATATAATTTCTTGCTTAGATTATAAACTACCAAAGGCTTTACTGGCAGAAAGGAGGCATTACATTCCTCTCTTATTAAGGTAATGATCAATATTTCCCCTAATTCTCTTTTTTCCTCATCCACCAAAACAAAACAAAAAAAATTGCTTTCAGAATTTCTTAGATTCTACCTAATTGAAATCTTGACTTTTTCTTTTAGAAAGAATATGTTTTTAGGCAATAAAGTTTTTGTTATGTGTGTATAAAAAAATGAATCTAGTAATTAGCATAGTAGCATAGTAAAATTCACATTTTATGGATTCATTTTAAATTTTTACCTTTGTCCTTAAAAATCCTCAAATATTGGATGGCCCTTTGGCCTCTAGATTTTTGGTATCAATAGATAATTACTTTGTAATTTCAGACTTATTTAATACTTTGAGTAACACTGTAGCTCAGAGGTGGGGAACCTGCAGCCTGGGGGCCATGTGTGGCCGTCTAGGTCCTTGGGTGCAGTCTTTTGACTGAGTTCAGATTTTACAGAACAAATCCTTTTATTAAGGGGATTTGTTCTGTGAAGTTTGGATTCAGTCAAAGCGCAGTACTTGAGGACCTACAGGGTCACATGTGGCCTCAAGGTCGAAGCTTCCCCACCCCTACTCTAAACCCTACTCTTTTTTCCCAACCCCCGAGGCACCAGAAACTGGAAAGAACATTGGATTTTAAGGCAAAGGACTTGGGTTTGAATTCTGACTCTGTTACATATTATATAAGTGAATTTGGGCAAGTTATACCACCCCTTTGGGCTTAGGTTTTCCTCATCTGTGAAATGAAGAGATTGAAATAGCTAATTTCTAAGTTGCCTCGGAGCTCTAGGTTTATTTAGTGTGTAACTATTTTAATATGTTAGCTAAGACTCCTAAAATGATTAAAAAGAATAAAATAAAAACACCATAAAAATTTAAAAAGTAAAATTTCTGTGGAGTTGGACAACATAAAAATTTGAACCATGAGCAGAGTATATTAGTCTATCCTATAGATAACTGCTGACTATCTTCTTTGAAATCAGCTCAGAATTTCTTTTAAGAAATGTTTGTTCCATCTTAGATCTGGGGATTTTTTTCCTTTCTTTTTCATGCAATCATTCTTTGCTATTTTTTCTTCACAATGCTTGTTGGTATGAGAACTTTCTCCTTCTGGTTTAATATCTCTGGAAAGTTTCTCTCCGAAAGAGGCAATATTTATATGCAATAATAAGACCATATCTGAAAGGAAAGATATAACACTGGCTGTTCCATCTTTTCCTTCTATATCAGACATTTACTGAAAAGGATTTCTGAATTGTATAGAACATCTGGGTATCTGTTTTGTCTGGTTGCCCATGTCCATATCATGTAAAACACTGAGATCCAAAAGGATGTGTTGCATTAAATTAATATATTTTTTCCTGACTTATTTAAAGTCATAAAATTTCTTTTTAAACCTTTTTTCATATATAGTGAGACAATTTAAATACCATTTGTCATATAATAAGAATGAAGTTCAGTGGATATTGTATGCATTTAACGTATCTTTGTCTTAATATAATGGAGCTCTGGGCATTAACATTTTCTTATAAGCCAAAAGATGAATTGTCTGATTTCTATTATTTTCAAAGATTTTCCTTAAAACTTTAGCTATTTAGGAACTCAGAAAGTTTTAAAAATACATACAAAGGCTGTGAGTATGTCTGTGTTCTTTCTTATGTTTGTTTTCTAGGCCCTGTAAATGAAATCAGTTTATTCCAATTTTCTTCATCTTTTAGCAGGCAGAAAGTTTTTGGATTTCAGTAGGGAATGATTCAGTAGGGAAGGCCTATTAGAAATAATTAATCTGTATGCCCTCTCACTAACCTGTGATTTGATATTTAGCAGAAAGGGGACCAGAAAATAAAACTAGGTAGATCCATGTTTCATATAGATTCATTGGTGTTCTTATGTTTGATTTACTTGGCATAGTGTATTGTTTTTCTCTGCCTTTTTTGTATGGGTGTCCATTAATAGTTTCTGGATGCAAAAACATATCTTGTAAAAGTCAAATATTTGGTATAATAAAGAGCTATGTGTGATAGAATCTCAGAACTGCTTACCTAATCATGGAAATGGTAAAATATTTTAGAGTAAAAAATGTATGTTTCACCCAAAGTACTTAAAATGTAATGTTTAATTCTTTTCTTCATTTCTCTTTTAGGTATTAGAAGATAATGACTATGGCCGTGCAGTAGACTGGTGGGGTTTGGGGGTTGTCATGTATGAAATGATGTGTGGAAGATTACCATTCTACAACCAGGATCATGAGAAACTTTTTGAGCTAATACTAATGGAGGACATTAAATTTCCTCGAACTCTTTCTTCTGATGCAAAATCCTTACTTTCAGGACTCTTAATAAAAGATCCAAATAAACGGTAAGGCTCAAATAATGCTGATTGAAAATAAATATGTTCTTAAAAAGCCTTTCCACTGGGTTACCTTTTGAAAAAGCTGCCACATAGTACTTTTTTCTTTTAACATCTCAATCTAGAATTTTTTTTTAACCAAAGCCTTAGATTTCCTGAGTCTTCCCCATGCCAGCGACATTAAATAGAGCATACTGAGCATCAGTATTCAGAAGAGCTGTGACACCTATTTTGCTGTCCATGACAGCAAAACTTGATGTTTCTTAATTGTCCCCATTATTTGATTTCTTTTATGCCAGACTAGAGTATAGATTTCCTATATTCTTTCCACTTCTGTGCTTCCTTTTTTTTGGAAGTGTCATCATCTGTAAGAAGATAATCCATCAGTAACTTTCTAGTTCAGATGATCTATAGAAGAGGTAACTGGAACATTTGATAAACATATTAATGTATATTTATGCATAATTATATCTGTATTTCATGTATTCAGCCTACTATAGCCAGGCACTGTGCTACACACATTGGAGCTAAAAGATAAGCAAGATAGCCCCTCCCTCAAGAAGCCTACATTATATTGGAAGGAGGAGGGAGAACAGATATATACATGTGTGTGCATACACATATATACCTATGTTTACACACACACATGCACACATCAATTCACACATATACATATACACACAGTACTAGCAACTAGACCAAGGGTTCTTAACTTTTTTAATGGTATTGGACTCCTTTGACAGTCTAACAAAAGCCAGTAGATCCCTTCTCAGAATCGTATTTTTTAATGTAAAAATAAAAATATATATAATTATAAAGGAAGCTAATATATATATTGAAATATTAGAAAAATATTTTTTGGAAAACAAATTCTTGGAAACCAGGTTAAGACCCTCTGAAACCAGAGGGCACATAGATCTCTTGCAGTAGGTGGCTCTTGAATTGACTCTTGATGGAGTCTAGGGATTCTGCAAGACAAAGTGAGGCAATAATGTAGTCCAGACAGGATGGTCAGTCTGTGCAAAAGTAGGAGATGAAATGTGTACAGAGAAAAATAGACCATTTTAACTGACTGGTGTGTGAAGGAGAATAATGTGAGACAAAATCCTGAAAGGGCAAGTTGGAATCTAATTGTGAAAGACTTAAAAAAAAAAAAACCCTACCAGAGGAGTTAGTATTTTGTATTCCTAGAGGAAGAGGAGCCACTGCAGCTTCTTGAGCTGGTGGTTATTGGGGTCACCATGCTTTCAGAGTTTCAGTTTGGTTGCTGTGTGGAAGATGGAGCAAAGAGGAGAGGGAAAGTGCAGTGGTGGTGAGGGATGGAAGTCGAAGAGCAGCTGTAAGGGGGGGGATGTTGGGGAGATGGAATGTGCAAAACTGTGCAGCTGGTTGGCTATGGAAGATAAGGGAGGGCGAGCAGTTAAAGATGATTCCTGGGTTACATCCCTGGGTTATTAGAAGAATAGTGTGTGATGTGTGTAGAATTACATAAGTTAGGAAGGGATAAGTGAGATTTTGTGGAAAATAATAAAAATAGCTAGCATTTACATAGTACATTAAAGGTTGCAAACCACTCTAGAGATATCTCATTTGGTCTTTACAACCCTTGAAAGTAGGCACTATTATTACCCCCCATTTTACAGCTAAGGAAACTGATGTAAAGGTTAAGTGTCTTGCTCAGGGTCACACATCTAATAAGTCTCTCAGGATTTGAACGGAGGTCTTCATGACTCTTTATCCACTATACCACATGTCTGCTTGTGAAGAGTTTTTGGGGGGCATATTATTTGTTCCCTTTATACTACTGAAATTATACTTTTATTTTTCTGACTTTCTGGCAAATTCTTTTATTTTCATCAGGTTTATAGAGCATCAGCATACTTTTAACATTTCTTTAAGATAAGAACTCATATTTTATGACAATATGGAGATTATATTCATTATGGTCTTTTATTCTAAACTGACTTTATCTTCAAGTTCCACCTTGATCAGAACATGTTTCACAGATTTTATTCCTTTGAATAACAATGAAAAATATTTCAGACATACCACAGATGTTAGAAAACATCTAAAAAGGGCTACATTTTTATTTCACATAAATATCAGAAAATGTACCCATGATTTTGACTCGATTTCCT